GCCTTTTGTCATAGTTTGTTAGGCTCCAGGCCAGGTCTGGGGGTTACATCTTCTGCCTTCCTATGAACAGAAGGAGGAAATCAGCACAGGATCTGGTTGCCATTAAATAAAAATAAATTTTAATATACTTATAGGGCAGATGTGTCTCCAGTTTGCTGATCCTACAGATTTCCTCAGAGGAGGTTCCTGCCAACATTCGCTCAACACTTGTTTATTGTTGATCAAACACACTGCCTGTGTGTGCTGACTCGCTCCCATTAATAGGAAGCCAGGCAGACTCTTCAACATCTATTGGAGGGGGAGCCTCTGAGATGCAGATGCTGAGGAGCCAGTAACTGGGCTCCCCTTCCCATCCAGACACTGCCCTCAGCTGCAGTAAGTGGGAATAGAACATCACGGTAATTGGATCAGGTGTCAAGAATCAAAGCTGTCAACCCATTTTAGTATTATTGGAATCTAGCTCTCATTCATTTTCTGGTGTCACTAACCACAGCATTTTGAAAAGGCAAATGAAGGCCCAGGAGCATGGTTGGATCATTGCATCACAGTTTCACTGGAAAGTCAGTGATAACTTCAAGTGGTGGTCAGTGGAAATTCCCCAATAAACCACAGTGAGAGAAGACGAAGGAGTGGTTCTTCCTTTAAATTTTATCATCATAAATGGCAAGTGGGAATACTGTGAGGGTCTTGGGAGAATGAGTCTCACCTAGGTGTGAGGTTTCAAACCTTACCACCTGAATGGCCCCTGCCCCTGCAGTCCTCAGGATGTGGGGATTTTATTACCTTGGGACTTTTAAACATGCTGAGTAGAAGTGATAGTTTATATCTTGAGCCCTACCATCCAAATGTTCCTTACCTTAGAAGCTATGCAGAGCTGCGGCTGTCTAAAATGTCCTGGAAGAAATATTAGCTTAGGAGGAATGCCTCCCTGAAAGGACCACAAAGTCTAATTGCCAAGTTGTCCCCTTCTCATGAGCCACTGAGCACCATTGAGTTATGGAGATACTTCTAATGTAGTGGTAGATGGCAAAGAACTCCCCACCCAACCAGTGTGCTCCAAGATTGGGACCCATGGATTCTATTGCTTTTGTGTAACTATGTGAGTTGTGTTGAGACATTTCCTGTGTTTGGTCTTCAGTCTCCCTCTCTGAAATGGAGCTGTTTCTGGCTTACACTGCTCAGCAGAGCTGGGGACCATTCTCCTGAGTAGACCTCAGCAGCATCTCCTGGACTGACACTTATTTGCTGAGACGTATGCTCTTGGTCAGTTTACCAAACTGACTACACAACATTCAATTTACTGACAGTTCCAGGAAGGGTTGAATGACATAATCAGCCCAGTGACTGCACAGAGGGGTTTTTATTTTTACTTTCTTAAAGTCACAGAGAGAGGAAGAACTATGGGCTGCCCCTGCCCAAGAGCTCTGTACCCATGGGAACATTGCCTGGGCAACAGCTTCCTCATCTGCAAATGGCAACAAAACATGTATTGTATGGCAATGGTAGGGTTTTGAAATGGATAGAGTTTAAAATGGGTTTAATATTACATGGGGGGAGGGGGCATTTGTTAAAGTAAGTTTACTTTAACTGCTGACTTCCTTTTGTCCTCTTTCTCCCATGACAGATTCTGTAAGTCTGGCAGGTAGTACTTCCAGTAAGTATTGTGAAGCTTGAAGGGTGTTGAAATGACCAAGTCAGGCACGAGAGAGGCATCAGAGGACCTGGGGATGACTGTCCTCTGGGCAAAGAGTTCCTGGGCATCCAGTGCCCACTGTACTTCTCAGATGGAAAAGGTGGCACTTCTGGAGATGCCACTGGGCTCAAGTTCCCTGGCCCACCATTTTGAGTATGAGGTATGGCAGTTTATCCAGCCTGCCCGTGGACCCCTGGCCTGCTCTATAACTCAGGATAATAAGTGGCTCTCCAGAGAACAGTTACAAAGGGCCCCTGGGAAGCTCAACAGCCAGTGACATTTCCTTTTCCTCACCCAGGTACAGACCTTGTCACTACTGGTTCTGAGTACTTAGTCATCTCCCAGGGGTTGTGGGTAAGATGCCACCATGGCTTCCATTCTTGAGCCTTGGGGAATGGGTACTCTATTTTCAGCCTCTGCACATAGTTATCTTAGAGCAAACATCACCACATGGTCTTCAAGGCTGCCTGCTGCTTCATCTCATCTGCTAACCTCTCTGCCTTACACATTGCCTGTTCATTCTACTGGGCAACAGCTCAGGGCCATGTGCTTGGCAGTTCCAAGCCTGCACTTCAAGGACAGCTGCGTTTCACCTTTCAGGTTATCTTCTTAAAGGAGCCTGGATCACTGTTGCTCCCTTCAATAGTCACCTGAGGTATATGCTATTTCCTCATACCATTTGTTACAATTTAAGTTCATATATTATTTGTTTTTTATGGGTCTCTCCCATAGACTTCCTGCCTTGTTGGGACAGAGTCACTTTCTGCTTCACTTAGAACTGAATGGTCAATATCTACAATAAGAGGTTTCCAGCCAGCATTTTTTCTTCCTTCCTTCCTTCCTTCCTTCCTTCCTTCCTTCCTTCCTTCCTTCCTTCCTTCCTTCCTTTCTTTCTTTTTGTGGGGAGCAATGCTGGGGACAAAACCCAGGACTTCACAAATGCCAGGCAAGCAATTTTGAGCTACCTCTCTAGCCTCCAACAAGCATTGGGTTGATGGATCAGTATTAGCTCTTGCACCTTTATCTGGGGCTCAGAAAATCAGAAACCTTTGTGACCGGTTTGAATCATCAGAAGCTGCTCTGCAATCTTATTTTAGATAATATCCATCCTATTTTATTACAAGAAGATAACCAGCCACAGACCAGAGATGGGAATGAGTGGGAGGGGATGCCTCGGTTGGGGTGGGGGTGGGGGGATGGTTTTCATTTCTGATACTGGAAAGGGAACAGAATCCACCTCTTAAAAGCAGCCAGACTGCTTAGACCATAATTATTTCTGTCTGACTTGGGAAGGATGAGCCCTGCCATACTTGTCTCTTTCTCTGTCCAAGTGAACCAGTTAACAACAGCCATAAACATGGGTTTCCAGTCCTGGGAGGATCCAAACCGATGTAACTCCCAGATAAACGCTCATAAGAATGCTGCCATTCAGTTAAAATTTGGAGACTGGAGTCTGCAATGGGGACACTGTCCTGCTAGATCTTGTAACACACCCTTGGATCTATTTCAGTTTGGTGCGGGGGTGGGGTGTGGGGTGTGGGGGTGTGGGGGTGTGGGGGTTTTTACAGATACCTGACTCACACTGAACTCCAGTGAGTTGTTAATGCTGAAATATTCAAGGACAAGACTGATTCACACAGATAGAAGTGCCAATTATTTGAGGAAGAATCAACCTTTGAAGGACCCTAGGCATGTGGCTCAAGAGAGCTTTAACAGGGAAAAGAATCCCACCCTATCCAGAAGCTGTCCTGGTTGGGTCTCTGATTGGTTATTGACTCTGGTGTTCCTATGCTCCTATGTATATGGGCAGAGAAGAGCTTAAAGGCTCCAACACAAAGAGCTGATATGGATGCTAATTATGCTGGCTCGATTAGAGCACACTGTATTGTGATATCACACTATCTACAGTTGGGTGTCTGTACTGAGACAGCGAATGTCTATAGCCACCCCATACTGAGTGTGCTTGATCTCCTAAGCTAAGCAGGGTTGGGCTTGGTTAGAACTCAGAAAATAGGTTGGACCATCTTACATTAGACCCCAGAAATGGACAATTATTACATGTTAATTTAAAATAAATAAAAACAACTGTTTCAGTGACACCACCCACTGCCTGCAGGTACAGTTAAAACTCTTTGGAAGCTTTTGCAAATTTGATCCAGGCCAATGTGGTAGCTTATCTTCCATCACCCCTGAAGCCACCCGCAGTCAGCGATGTCACTGTCATTGCCACCCTGTGGATAGACTCCACTCTTCTCCAGTTACTTCTCCTCTGTGCCACTTGCCTCCTTAGAAGTCTTTCAGCAATCCTGATCAGCCCACCTTCTCTTGAAGCACCCCCTCGCACACAGCTCCCACAGGGTTCAAGGTCAGCCCGAATCCCACTGTTAGTTTTGCAGTGCTAGGTTGCTGTTCCGTGTGGTGCTTTAGCTCTGCTCTTATATTACCAAGCATGCCACAGTGACCCCAGACATTTTTAGATACATGTGCAGAGTTGACAGGACATTAGAAAGAACTGGTTCTGCTTCCACCATGCGGGCTCTCTGGGGATTGAACTCAGGTAGTCAGGATTGGCAGCAACTGCTTTTACCTACTGAACCATCGTGCTGGTCCATCTAAACATGCAGGAAGTTCCTCCCTTGTGGACTTTAGTTGGGTCTGATACTACTTCATTTCCCCAAAATTTTCTGCTTTTTCAATAGAGTAAATCTGTACATATCCAAGACAGGAATTCCCAGACTGAAGTGAAACTGTTTTTCATTATTCTCCAAACTTCTGCTTATTGAAATCAATGTTCTAAAAGCACTCCTGGTGCAAGGGCTTTGGGATCCATCTCGTCTCAGCTGACTACAGTGGGGTGTTTGGGGATGAGATGATCTCAGAGCTGACTGGAACGGCAAGTGGAACTCTAACCTGATCTTTACTTTGTAACTATTTAATTTGTAATTTATGAATTAGATGCTTTTTTTTTTTTTTTTTTAACAAAGAAAGGTGTCATGTCTCTGCAAGCAGCTATGTTTAGTCATGGTTGGGTAGTCAAGTGCAGACTCTGAGAACAGAGCCTGCCTGTGCTACCAGGGCAGGGTCCTCTTTAACTTGCAGGATGGAGTTGGCACAGGAGAAAGAAAAGAAATGTGATTGAAAGGCTGAAGGCAGACCCAGGACATAGTAGACGAAAAGATATGTGAAGGAATGTTCTCTCAAGCAGAAAAAAAAAAAAAAACAGAGTGTGCATGGCGGGAGGGGGTCTGGGGGGAGAGAGAGAGCAGCCTTAACTGCAGATCAGCCCTTCGAAGGAGCCCTTACTCACTGAGTGGATGATGCCTTGAAGAGCCTGGAAGCCATCATTCACAGGAAACACATGGTCCTTACTGTCTGCAATCCGAGCCAACTGAGAACAGACAGACACACAAACATGTGCAGAGATGTGTCAGGCATGGGCATGAGACTCAGGAAAGTAACGATGTGAGATGTGCTACTCGGGCTTATATTCTGAACCCAAAGGAATCTGGAGCCTTCACCAGGCTCAAGGCCTCACTGAGGAGTCCTCAGCCACAATAAGCTAACCAGGGACCTCCTGGAGCAGGCTGAGGTGGCACCAGTTTTGCATTTGTTTGGGAGCAGAGGTTAGACTACCCAGCTGGATGAACACATGACTTGGGGCAAAATATTTGTATATTTGGGGACCACTGACTTATTTCTCACCCAAATATCTGCTGGTAATTTTATCCAAATCAAACAGACTTGAGTCCACTCAAAGCAACTTCAGGACCAAGTTCAGGCATTCTTATAGCACTAGGCTGATGAAAGGGGTCCCACCTTTCACCCCAAATACTTTGAGGGACAGGCCCCTTGCTTCTTCTGCTTCATGAAGCAGGAGACAGAGAGCAAGGAGCAGCTGACCAGGGATCCTTAACATTCAGTTCTGGGACTGCCATAGAGGCCATGCCAGTTTTAAAATTGATTTACATTGTTTTTACTGATTGCAAAAGTAACATACTCATTACAAAAAACTTAGAAAAAATATAAAAGTTAAAATGGAAGAAAAACAAAGTCTGTTCATAACAGATCTCTACCTATGTATTTGTAGTTTGTTCTTATTGACAACTGGTTATGTATAGACTGTCTGCTATGTATAAACTGTCACACTCTTTCAATGCAAATACATGTGTGTTTATTCTAAAAGTAGGCCGGTACTGTTCGCACTACTTTGTAATCCTATTTTTTTCTTCACTCAATGACTGAGAATATTGTGCCACTATAACAAAAACAAGCATGAGACACATGGAAGAGCTCTTATTTAGGATGTTAGCAGGTTCTATTTCTGGGCATACTTCTCCAACTATTCCCACATATTTGTATTGAAAATGCATTTTAATAAACAAAAAGGAATATCTGTCACTTAAACAAGAAAATTGTATTTTTTAAATTAAAATTTTTAGAACATTTTTTTAGGTTAATTAAGACCTGTGTTGACACCTTGGTGAAATGCAACCTAGAAAGTTAAACAAAAGAGATGTGCCCTGGGTGATTTGTGCGAAGGGTGATATCAAATTCTTCACACACCCAAAAGTTTCTTCCTGCCTAGCTTCCCAGAGAAACATTCTATTAAGGGGTATGTATTCCACAGATGTCCCTGCTATGCTGAATGAACTTGCTGTCTGTCACTCCTGAGCTCTGCACATTTCCAAACAGGGGGAGATCCAGGCCCATACCTGAGTTTCATTGAAATCCTTCACACCAACACAGTAAACAATTGCACCAAGGTCTCGGGATCTGTTAGCCTGTGTGAGGAAACAAAGGAGATTAAAGGGAGATGTAAGGCAAGTATCTCCCTCTTGATCTCGATTGTTATCAACCAGTCTTGAAATGTTTCCTAAGTATCTACTCTGTGGCAGGTGGCACAGTGAAGGAACAATCTAGATACTAAGGAGCCCATACTCTAGTGACCATGAAAGGCTATGTAAAGCATGTGAACCAGAGGGCAGTGGTTAGCTTAGGAGGCACCCACCCAGATTTCAGTGACAGTCCTGGAAGGATATGGGAGGAGGAAGAATGACAGGGGCAGATAAACCACATGACACACCCAGGAAAAATGTTCACCTTTGCTATTCGGGAAGTAGGTTGTATTGGCATATTTTCTTCTTTGCGGGGTGACAACACAGTATTACAAAGGAATGTGGCCTTTGGCACCAGATATCCCTGGGCAGATGCTTGGCTCCACTCTGTAAAGTGTCTGGGGAATTAACTGTGATCATCTGTGCAGAGCTCACTGGTACTGTAATGCTCCTATTGTCAGCATCCTTTGTGAACCAAAAGGTTTTATCTCACTGACACAGAGCAAAGCAGTTTGATGGTAAGCCCATATCTGACTAGGTAGCCAGGATCTTTTCTACATTGAGAAGGCAACATACTGAAAAATATCCAGGTTTTGGCTTAGTATTATATTAGATGTATTAAAGGTATTTTGATTTGTTTTGGTATTTGTTTCCCAGATTTCCTGTGTTTCAGGATAGACACATGGACTCCTGGGCTCACAGATCAGGTGCTCAATAAATGATGAACAGTAAATATAAAATTCCTAATATACTCATACTGATTTGAGTTGTAATTTATCCCTCTATGGGAACTCAAACCCACTTGTTTCATACATTGACTTCTAGAAGGGACAGAACAAGTCTTTTCTTCTTTATGTTGGAAATATTTCCTGCCGTACTCAGAAAGAAATGAACCTCGAGACACAGTCTAGCCCTCATTCATCTCCATCTACTCCAGACTCCTCTCCTCTAGCTGGGCTTTCTGGAGAGTCATGGACAGGAGAGGGTTCATGCTCTTTGTATCTTCTCTGAGAACTCTTCTGTTGGCATCAGGATGCTGAGTGCTTTCCAAGTTTGTATGTGCCATAGTCAAAATTGTTTCTAGCTAACGTCTACTTCAAGCCCCTCATACTCATAATTTGTTTTATTCCTGTTCTCTCCTTATTAGGGTTTTCACTTTGTTTGACTGTTATTTAGTGTCTAAATAAGCCACTTCACATTCCATCACATAGTGTTAAGTTTAGACTACAGAGACATATTTCTCCCCAGATGCTCGGGGCATCTGTCATGTTAGCTTGCGTTTCCCATGCCAGACATGTGCTCATGGGAGAAGGAAGAAAGGAAAGCCTTTCATGGCAGAGCCCAGGAACTGTGCCTTGCTCTCTTGTGAGCCTCGAGAGCATAGCCAAGTCCAAGCTCAGAATGAACAAGCACACTGCTTCACATTTGTGGATGGAGTTCAATTTAAACTACACAGTGGTCAAAAGACCCAGGGAATTGTAATGTTGCCATTAATGTCTTCCAGCATCTGGCCCATACCCATTTTCTATCTTTTTCCTTCTGTGTGAATTTCTGCCTGTGCCTGAGTGAGCCTTTGTCATCCACCAGTGCACAGGCCACCTAACAGTGACCACACCTCTGAAAAAAATAAAATAAAAAACTTCCTCTCCAAACAGCCATTAACTGCCAATATCTCCTAGCTGGATCAGAGAGGGGGGCCTTGTGAGCCCCTCCTCTGGGGAAATAACTTTTGAGAGCATGAAGAAAAGGAAAGGAAAGGAGGGCTGGAAAGATGGCTCAGCCATTATGAGTGCATAATACTCTTCCAGATCTGATACCCAGCACCCATGCCAGACAACTCACAACAACTGAGACTCCAGCACCAAGGCGGATCAATGCCTTTGGCCTCAAAGGGCACCCACACCCACATGGTGGTTCACAACCATCCATAACTCCAGTTCCAGGAGGATCTGGCATCCTCTTTGGACTTCCACAGGTACTAGGCACACACATAGTACATATACATACATGCAGGCAAAATACTTATACACAGAAATAAAAGTTTGTTTGTTTTGTTTGTTTGTTTTGTTTTTGTATATAGTAAAAATAAAATGTAGAAAGGGGAAGGGAAGGAGAAACAAAGAAGACTACACAAGTGTTCCACTGTCTCTGTGAAGCTCCTCCTAGCTGAGAATCTGTTTTGTTGTTGTTTGCTCTGTTTGTTTTCGAGACAGGGTTTCTCTGTGTAGCTCTTGCTATCCTGGAACTCGATCTATAGACCAGGCTGGCCTAGAACTCACAGAGATCCACCTGCCTCCCTGCTGAACTGGTTCTTAGGTACCTCAAGAAGCCCTTTTTCATCTAACATTTTAGTAGAAAATATGAGGGAAAAAGGAAGAAAATTAGTACCAACACTTTTTGTTTAAAACTGGTATGTGATACTTTTTTAAGCTGCTAAAGTAATATAGTACCTTAAATAAAGGTATAGTAGATTTTTTTTGAAAGGAGGAAAACATTTGCCATGTGAGAGACATGAAATTGCACTTTAAAATGAATTATGATTATTTTTACACATGAAACAGTCCCATTCAGGTTTTTACCAAGAATGACTATTGTTTTGCCTGAATACTGAGTGGGATCATGTCAGAGAAAGGCTCTGTCTCCTCACACACCCAGGAAATACTACACACTTTAGCTCTGAGCTGCATGCCCAGTTCAGTTTCCACACAGACTCAGCAACTGTTACTCACCTCTCTCTCTGAGTAGAAGAAGAGGTCTTCATGCAGTTCCCCATCCGTCAGTGCGATGATGACACTCGCTGTCCTGTACCCTGCTCAAAAGCCACAGAGACCTTCTACTTGTCCTGTACCCCAGGGACCCCCACAGAGTCTACTTGTCCTGTACCCCAAGACATCCCAAGAGACCCTCTCACTTGTCCTGTACCCCAGGACACCCCCACGCATCCCTGGGATTTTATCTCTTATAGTTCCATCACTGAAAATGAATATGATGAGAGTCACCAGTCTTGTTTGGGGGTGTGGAAGAAACTCCAGCATGAGTTTTGTAGGGTCAGACTTCTCAGCTTCATCTCAACATATAAGTTGACGCTGTGACATGGCCACTAAACCAGTCAGTGACTGCAAACAGTTCCAATGACCAATAGCCACCAGGCCTGGGGCAAATTCCATACTTGGACTGTATTGGTCCTTCTTGAATTCCATAGCAGACCACATACACCACACTTGGAAAACAGTTTGCCAAAACATAACATTTATCAAAATTTGCAAGCTGACCAGAAGTGTTATAGCTGTTGGCAAAATCTCCTGGAACTTCCAATGCTACTTAGACTTCCAGTAACAGTACTTACAATTGATTTTACTCTGCAAATTTGAGGCCTAGACTAGTTGCAGCAGTTTAATTACAATCAAACAGGAAGTGGCTAGCAGGAGGAAAGTCCCCACAGTTATATGGAATCCCATGGAAGAGACTAGTGTGACATACTAGAATGCTATCCATGAGGGAGACTACTAGGAACCAGAATGATGATATTATATTCCTCTTTCTAAGGACTTTATATTTTGATTGTGAGCCTAGCCTTTAACAACTGAGCCATCTATCCAGCCCTCTAAGGATTTTACTAACCATACTTGATGCATTTATATTTAAGTAAAGGGAAATTTAAGTCAAACTTGATCTAAATATCAGATTCAACCACAGAAGCTCAGAGAGAGACAAGATAATTAAATCTGACACAAAAATCTAAGACTTTACTAGCCCATCCAGTGTTTATTAATTTAATGAATTCATCATGCAAAACTATTCATGCAATTTGCAGACTGTAGCCATAATGGGATCATAATTGTTTTTAAATAATGTTTCCTGGCACAGCATGGCAGAATTTGACTTGATAAATGCCACTTTTCAAGGCACTCTTTAATATTCTTTCTTTGTGATAAAAATGAATGTATAGGATTTATGAACCATGTCACATGTGTACTTTGAAGTGTATAAATTCTCTTTCAGAAGCAAACATGGAGAGATGAAACACTTCATAATGTGGCTTTATATTACAATCTTACCTTGACTGTTTTCATAGTAAATCTGCTCACTGGCCTGAAAAATAAAGAAGCCATTAGACCATTAGCCACACAAATGCTGCTTGCCAGTCCAATAGCATGCATGCAAGTCTGAGGATATGTTGCTCGTCTGCAACCAGGGCTGACTAGATTCTTATTATGACCTGCCCAGGTCTCAGTCAAAATGCCAGTGCTAATATCCAGGTGACTTGTCTCTCACACTTGGGTCAGCTAACTGTTGACATGGGTGGAGGTCTTCTCAGAGGCTTAGGAAGATTTTCCTTACAGCCAAAGGTACTGAAATTCCACCGCAGTCATTGCAGCTGCCAGGATACTTTGGGAATTGAGGGTACTTTTGCATCACAGTTCCTGAGTGATATCTAAGTCCTGGCTAACAGATCCTTTGTGCATATCGGTTAAGGAGGAAAAATCCATTCCCTTAGCACATTTGAATGTAGTTGTCAGTGTAAGCTTATGGGGGAAAACGTGTTCCCTTACCACTGGGCATTATTAGTCCCCATAACACACATGCTTTGTCTCATCAGCCATCTCTGTGCTGATATTCCAATGTGATATTTTATACTGGAGAGTTTAAAACTGTCTTGAAATTACCCTTTCAAATCCTTCGTGCATGTAAGTGTCTCCTCCTGGCAGAACTTTCTGGAGTTCTTCTAGGCCTTGTCGGATCTGTTCCCTGAAATCCAAAAGTATCTTGTTAGCCTCATGAGAGTATTTTCATCTTGCTTTTGACAGTCATATGTACCAGTTTGCTTTCCACATGCATGCTATATTGCTCCAAGAGCTACCTAAACCCATCAGTGGGAAAGTCTTTGGACTCCATTATTCACTTGGGTTCAGCCACAGCTAGAGTAGGATGAGTTAGATTTCAACAACTGAGGAGCCTTTCAAGGATCTCCACTTGCTTTTACGATGTCCCTCTTTGGTAACAGGGACAAAGATTTCTTTCCACACTGGAAATGAACCTTAAGATGTTCCTGCCCCCAATGGGACACACAGCCACACTGATGGAGAGGTAAGTGGCTTCTGTAAGCCAGAGAGTGATGAGCACCAAGAAACCAGTAGAACCAGGGAAGGGCCACCTTAAGGACACAGCTAGGAGGAATCTGAGTAAACGATGCCAAGAAGATGTGCAGTCATCTTTGAAAGCAAAAAAGCACATGGCATCCATACTTCCCATACAAGCAGAAGTGATTGGCGGTTGACACTTGTGTGTTGTTCCTCTGTTTGGTCAACAGTGAGGACAGGAAGAGGAAGTGGGTCAGAGGATGGGAGAGAACTGGAGTGGCTTCTGGAGCGGCTTCTGGAGCCATGTGGAGTCTTGCAAACTACTTTCTCTGGAGGGTAAGACACACTCATTCATGTTCCTACCTCTGCAGTAGCACTGTGCTATGCCAGAGCCTCACTCATAAACCACAAGTATGTGAGAGGATTCAGGATGGCCTTCCTCTGGCTTTGGTTTCGTGGTGGAGGTGGAAATGCACATTTTAAATCAAGAAGAAAGAGCTTTCAAGTTGGAAGAGGCTAACATTCCTGGGGAACATGGTACACCAAGCCCAGCCCAAAGATTCTGATTCTGCCTCCTTATAACCTCTCACCACAGGTAGAATGGTCATCCCCAAGAAAATGGCAAATGTCATTGAGGATGTGGGGAAAAAGGAGCCTCCTCCACTGCTGTGGGAGTTTAATGGCTGAAGCCACCAAGGAAATCAGTATCAAGTTCCTCAAAAAACTGAAGAGCTGCCAGTGGCAAAGCTATCCCACACCTAGGTAACACCTGAAGGGATCCCGTCAGCCTGCAACAGGAATACACGCACAGCCATAGACATGGTGGCACCATTCATGATATTCAGGAGAGTGAACTAGTCCAGATGTGCATCAAGAGATGGATGTACAAGAAGATGCAGTACATATATGCAAATACATAAAGAACAGCTATCATGACCAAGAAAATGGACAGAAACAGAGATTATAATGGTAGGTGAAATAAGCTAGGTTCAGAAAGTTAAATACTGAATGTTTCTGTGTGGAAACTGGAGGAGAAAAAAAATCGAACACAGTACAATGTGGGGTGTTAGGGCTGTGGAGGCAGATATAGTGGGGTAGGAAGATCAGAGAGCACAATAGAGGGGACATATGGCTAAGGTGTGTTACACTCAAGTAAGAAAATGTGCTGACAAAACTTGTTACTTTAAACTTAATAAATACAAATGGAAAAGTGAATGTGGTCTTGTTCTTTGGTCACATACTACTAGTAAAGTCTGGAATATTCTTGGTAGCACTAAAACTGGAATATTATGGTAACACTGAGCTTTAAAAAGAAAGCTTAAAAAATAGCATGTTGGGGGTGTGGAAAAGCTTCCTTGGCTTTACTGTGTTTTTCTTCTGCCAAATAAAGTATGGGAATTGAGGAATTTTTCTTCTAAGCCCATTTCTTTTCCTGAGCTAGTGCTCTCAGAATCTCCCTCCCTGCCTCCCTCCCTTTTCCCCTCCCTCTCTCCTTCTCTCCCTCTCCCTTTGTCTCTAGAAACTTTCCAGACACATCTGCTTTTTAACTGGTTACCTGCTTTGTTGCCTACCTCATGGCTCCCTGCCCTTCTCTAAGTACCCACAGCATCTAAATCTGAGAAGTAATGGTGGCCTAGGACCATAGGTCTGTTCTGACACTGGGACAGTTATCACTAAGGGGGTGAGTCCCTATGCCATCTTAGAAATCTAAGGGAGTGTAGGGAGCCAGATCTTTATAGGTTGACAACCTCTTGGAAATTCAATTATCGGTGCGACATTAATTTCCTGGGAAATGAAAGGCTGGGAATCCTACATAAGAGGCTGTCATTAAAATGTACTGATTTCATTGGTGGTTTCTCTGTCCTCCAGTGTTCCTACTTAGAAGCTGGGGATTTTCAAGCCACATATCTTATGTTACTTTTGCAAGACATAACACTTAAGGACCGTTGTAGTGCTGGCAGCTGTTAGATGAGTGAGTCCAGCTTCTGTGCATCATTCATTCATACATCATTATGCTAGTGTCCAGCAAATCTTTGCATGCAGCAAGTGGTGATCTGTAGGGGGATGGTGGGACTACTCAGTCACAGTGCCCTAAGGATGTGAGCTTGACTTTCTGAAGCTGAGGTCATGCTGTGGCATTTTGATAATGTCTGCTGATAAAGAATGAAGGAACAGTACCCACAAGCACACCAGGGTGTACTTCCCATGTCTCCACTGGGAAATCCTCCTCTGCCCATCTTATTTTTTCGTGCTGTAAAAATAGCCTCCACCACAGAGACAACCCAGCATATGAGATGTGCACTGTCAGTATAGCAGCCCGCTCTGAAGGAGCATCTGTGGGACTGGGCTTTTCTTAGATGGCTCTGGGGCCTCACACATACATCACACATGGGACTGTTCATCATCCAGCAGTTCTCTCCGCATTTTCAGGTGACCTGTGGCTGCAGTGTGACAAACAGATCCACACAGCTCAAGGCATTCTGCTGTTACTCTGGCACCACAAGTTCTAAAGTAAATGGTAGTAATTTGCTTATCACGCATAAGATCGCAGCTTCTTCCACCATCTATGGAGGGTTGGTGGAGATGAGTGATGGAGCCCTTGCTTGAGAAAGGCTTTTCCAGGCTATTGCTGAGTTTATTTCTGAAAGGGACAACATCCCCTTGTTTTTTCTCTTCTCTACAGCAAGACCCTCTTTTCATTACTGATAATATCTGTAAGTCATATTTTCTCTCCACTCTCAAAACGGTATCAAATATTTAGCAGCTCATTCTTTTAATAATCTCAACTCAGAATTTACAGGGTTTATCTGTAGCTTTGGAGGCTGTCCTGGAACTCTGTAGACTGAGCTGGTCTTGAACTCACAAAAACCTGCCTGCCTCTGCCCCTCGGGTGTTGGGATTAAAGGCATGCGGCACCAATGCAGGGCTCCCCTTTACCTCGCCTAAGAGACCTTTGCTGTTGCCTGCCTCCTCCCACACACTGCCGCTAGCTGTGTCTCACAATTGCTGACTCTTGGGTTTTCATTGTGGTTCAGTTGGCAAGGCCACTTAACTTCCCCTCTGCTGTCTTCTTTGTCAGTAGCTTGCCTTTGACATAATGGTCTTTGGACTTTACCTAGTAAACAGGTTTTGTTCTGGAGTCTACTTTGTATAATATTAATATTGTTACCCCAAGTTCTGTGATTAATGTTTACATGGTGCATATTTTTCATTCTTTCCCTTAGTCTGTTGCTATCCTTTATTTCATGCATCTATTGTGAGTCATAAGGAATTGTATGTAGAAGGCTGTTTTAACAATGTCCTCCACCTCTGGGTACCCCGCTCTCAAGCCCCTTTCCACACTGCTTTGTACTTGGCTCTGGGATTCTCTTTAGCCTGGAAGATATCCGCAAACACAACACACAGGGCTCTCTGTTCTCTGGGTTTGATATCTTCAAATGCTGCAGTCTCAGAGGGCAGCTTATGATCTCACAGCCTTCAGAGAATGTCCCAGATCCCGGCTGGATTTTTAGTTTTGATTTTTATAGCTAGAGTTATTTGGGAAGAGTAGCCTCAGTGCTTCAGCTGAGAAAAAAGCCTCCATCCTGTAGGCAAATCTGTTGGATATTTTGATTAACATCAGAAGGTCCAGCCCACTGGGGGCAATGCCACCCTAGGCAGATGGCCCTGAAGGGTATGAGGAGGCAGGCTGAGCAAGCCATGGAGAAGTTTTCTTCCATGGATCCTGCTTCAGTCCCTGCCTCCAGCTTCCCTCCTTGAGTTCCCATGACTTCCCACAGTGATACAGTGTGACCTGAGAGAGCACAGAGGGAATAAAGCCTTCCCTCTCCGTGGCACTTTTATGTCATGGTGTTTATGACAGCGATGGAAACTCTAACTAAAACCAGGTGTATTACCCTTTGCAACTGAGGCCATTCCTTAGTTCACCCTCTAGAGAAATCCAGCTGCATGAATAATTCAGGAAACTCAACACCTTTAATGGTAGGTTGGCTCTTCCTTCTTTCTCTAGAGTGGCATTCTCCGTCTTGTGGTTGAAATATGTTGGGCATCTCCTGTTTATTGTGAATATGGGCACAGTTGGGATGGAGTCTGTTGTCTTGTTACTTATCTGCAATGGCCAGTTCTTTCAGTTCTCTTCTACAGTCTTTTGTTTGATCAAGTACCTTCTGCTATTTCAGCAAACACCATTCACCTTTAAAGCATAGCTGCCCGCTGTGAATACCTCTTTCTCCATCATCTGCCTTTTCTTTTCCCAGCCTATCATTGGGTTTAAATACACATTCTTATTTTATTAATCTTATGCCTTTACCCATACAATGAAATACTTACATCAACATCATTCACTTTATCTTTTGCTACTATTGTAATAAATTTATGAAACTCCAAAATACAGCAGATGCCTTACTTCTGCTGAGATACGTCACAACCCCCAGGAGGTGCCTGAAAGCTCAGACAGTTCATGCCCTCCATGCACTGCCTTTTCCCATGTGTGCTCAGCTCATCCAGTGATGTTTAGTTTCAGCCTAGTCTTATTCAGGACTCTCTGACTTCATCCCTTACTAATAGTGAGGTGTGGTGGTGATAGCCCCAGAGATCTCTTACTGGAGTCATCATAGAGGCTTGGTGTTTCTGGCATAGGACATCTGTATTGCTTGAAACACTTTTTCT